GAATTTTTTGTAATCCATGATCGAATTGTTTTTTTCTTTTTTCGTAATCCACGATGGAATTTTATGTTTTTTATGTTTTTTTTTTTTGTAATCCATGATCGAATTTTATGTAATCTTTGTAATCCATGATTGAATTTTTTGTAATCCATGATCGAATTTTTTGTAATCCATGATCGAATTTTTTGTAATCCATGGTTGAATTTTTTGAAAATTTGTGATTTTTTTTTTTAATCCATGATCGGTTTTTTTTTTTGCAATCCATAATAGAATTTTTTGAAAATTTATGATTTTTTTTTTTAATCCATGATTGATTTTTTTGAAAATTTGTTAATTTTTTTTTTTAATCCATGTGATTCAAAGAAAAAATGAGAGAGATGATGATTCTGAGGCCACCATATCCCAGCTATATTATTCACATATCGAGTCCCAAAAGCAACAGTGTAGGGATGAGCACGACAGCGCAGGTGAGCATGAATAATGGACAAGCTTCGGGGATTTTGGATTGGGAACACAACAAAACACTAACACTCAGGGATTTTGGAATAGTTAGGCGCCTGCTAATATCGATGATTCATTTTTAGATCGAATCAATGAATTGTTAAACGAATTCAATCAATGGCACCAGCGTGACCAAGAAGAACAATAACATCGTCTATCATTTTATTTTTAGATCATATGTTACTAATTTTATACTTTATTGTAGTCCATGTATGTTGATATACTTATTCCATAATAATTCTATGTTTATCCTTTTGTGTGATGTAAATTAAATGCTGAATGGCGGTTCATGCAGGGAAAGAACGTATCAATATTCGCATATTTATTCAAAAACATGAGAATTCTTAATGGAGTACCCTCATTTCTTATTGAATTCCTAAAAAACAATATTTATAATGAATTTTAATAAATTTTTTGGATTTTTTTAAAACTTTATTATGACCGATTCACCCGATTCTCGATTCGGATCGCCGATTCGCCGATCCGGATCGATTTTTTCAGTGCCCGATCCGGGTCACCAATCCGTTTTTTAAACCATTGGTTTTAAGAAAAAAAAAAAAAAGATAAAACTTAAAAAAAAATTGCAGTGATAATCGGGGCTTTCTATGCCTAGGTTTCTCTCATTCGTCGGTGTAAAGACATGGACCGTCCAAATTGATAGACGGCGTGGAGGCTGCTACCCTAGGTATTGTGCAGGCTGCAACCCTAGGTATTGTGGAAGCGCTGCAGCCCTATCAAACCATTATTTACTTTTGACATAGAATAAGACCATTTACTTTTGGTATAAAATGTTCATATTAATGTTGATCATTAGGTTTTATGTGAAATTGGGTGGCTCAAATTGTTCCATTGATCTCAAACTTTAAAAAAAAAAAAAAATTGAATTTGTGACACATCCAAATCATCAAATTTAACGTCGGATGTCGTAAGTAATTGTGATCACCTTGTATCAAATATAATTGGTTTCATTTGTAAACAATATATTTTTTAATTTAATAGTTTATACCTATTGTACTATTCTAACTCATAAACGTATATTGATGGAAATGTTGACATTAAAATATATAATCAAAATATTAAATGAAAATTATAACATTATGAATATCTTAGATGCGTTTTGACAATTTTCTTTAAAATAATAAATTTATTTTTTAGTAGTAAAAATAGATTTGTTAATTTATTTAAGTATTGAAAATATTTTAATACAAACTTTTATTTTTCATATTTTATATTTTATACAGCCTCCTAAAATATAAAATATATTTTATATAAAATATGAAATATAAAAAAAAAACCTCACCTTTTTATACTACCTACCCCATTTTATACATACCTTAGGCAACCTTTTATGTTTTTATATTTTTATATTTAGGGGTATCTTGAAATTTTTATTTTTAATATTATTTTTACTAGTACGTGATAGTGAGAAATATAAACATGTCAAATTTGAGTATGGAACTTGCACGGGGAAATTTACAAAAAAAAAATCTCAGTTTATTTTCAATATTTAAAAATAGTTTCATATATTCCGTATTTTATACTAGAATCGTTAATATATCAAAATCTATTTTTAAAATTTTGATATATCCATACTTGTCAATATTGTAAACCTTTAAAAGATTAAAAGTAATTCAAATAAGCGATCGAAATACCCCTACAATATTTATGGGTATTTTAGTGAATTTATTAATTTTAAAATTTTTGGGATATTTTTATGAGTGCATGACGATGATAAGTATTGACATATTGAATTTGAGCTGTTTTGATATGCAAGTAAAAGACAAAATTGAAATACAGCATAGGGGTGTGTTTGTTTTGGTATAAGTTTTGAGTAGTGGTTGACCCAAGTTCCAGCAAACGGGCTCCCATGTTTGTTATACGCATTTGGAAGTTGCAAGATGGAACCCACGGCTTCCACAATGGTTTATAAACAACGGCTTTTGAGGGGCCTTTGATGTGTGGAGTTTTTTAGAGGGTGGAGGAGTCTCCCACAAAATATGAAAGACCGCCCTCCCAACAATCTCGACCGTCGACGCTAAACAGATGTCACATGGCTGCTCTGCCACTTGCTGCTTCCATGAGGTAATATCAAATTCGTAAGGTTGTTCATGGAAGGCATGGCTTATATACAAACAAACATCCCTCTTAAAAGTTGCGTCTCGATCGGAAGAATAGACATCTAAAATTTGATGTGATTTAGATTTGTAGAAAAAAATTAATATCAAAATACAAAATAAAGTCATGATTGTCATATTGAATTTAGGCTGTAAGGCTCATGTGTAGTTGTAAGCTAGTAGGTCTATGTCAGCATTTCCCATATAATGATCTGATCCAATGATCATGATTGCATTTCGTATTTTAATTTTAATTTTTTATTTAAATCTAAACTACTTGATATTTTTGACATGTGTTATTTAAAATAAGATAATGTAATAAAAATATTTGACAAAATATAAATTGACCAAAATACCATCGAAACATTTTAGAGGTATTTTGGTCAATTTATATTTTTTAAATATTTTTATTATGTGTGCATTGATAAGTATAATAGACTCTTAAATTTTCATGTAATTTGGAATTATAACCAAAAACTAAAATTAAAGTACGAAATGATGTCATGATTGTTAGAGCGACTCATATTCAATTTGAACCGTTGGGGTCATATGTAGTTGTAAGTTAATGGACCTATGCTAGCATTTCCCATATATAAAATTATTTATAATTTAAAAATAAAATATTATTGTATAAAGTTGATTGAAGTAATTTGCATCTCAAAACTATGAAAAGCTATGCTATTTCGATGTCGAAAAACCTTGTGATGGCATGAAAATCACTTGCCACCCGTAATTATAAATTTTGAAGTTCTTAAAATGGGAAATGATGAATTAAATCTATAAATAGTTGAAAATATTAAAAAATGACAGATAAATTATATTTTTAAGATTTTCAGCTATTTTAATAAATTTTTAAAAATTAGACAGATAAATTATTAAAATATAGGGTTTTCCAATTTTGAGTGAATTTATTAGGTGCACCTTATTGCCACCTTATATAGCTCGTTTAGATCAATAGAATTTTTTTTCCCAATAAAAATTTAGGTGTAGTTTGTACAAGGCTGGGGCCTAAACCATTAAAGTAAGACATATCATCAAATATTGTTGAAAGATGTTATTTCCATACAAGAAATCTTTTTGATGACTTGAAATTTTATTTTTATATTTAATTATAAAATGTAAACCTCCAAAAATAGTGTAGATCGAAGAGATATATAATTACTTAAAAATCTTAAAAATTGGTGGTCTAAAAATATATTATAAAATAATAAATTATTTTCAAAATTTAAAATCCATTTATTGTGCTTCAAATTTCATTATAGGTATTGAAAATTAATTCAAGAGCCACCATGAACATTTATGATGCCTAAGGTGAGTCTTTATTTTGTTTTCATTAAACCTAGGCCTATAGAAACTTGACCCTTATTTTTATCCCTCAATTTTCTTTTATCAGGGTTAAAGACGCAGAGGGCTGGAGAGAATAAAAATTCTCGCAGAGATAGAGCGAGAGAGACGCTTCAAAACTCTTAAATTTCTCCCATTTTCCCTCTCCTGGAGTCTTTTCTTCCTGCCTTTCTTCCATCAGGCCTGCTCTAACCTAAAGAGAGAGTTTTAGAGAGACAAGAGACAAACGTAGAGAGAGAGAGAGAGCGGTTTAGAGAGAGAATGCTTCAAATCCGGCTCAACAACAAGGGGCCGGCATCAGACGGGAGCCCAGCAGCAAAGGGTTCTGTGGCAGCGGAGAATGTGACAGTGGCATGCCCCGATCATCTGGTGCTCGCCGATCTGCCGGTCGCAAAGTGCCTTGGAAACCTTCCGAATGCAACGGCAGTTGCCAAGACGGTGGGCAGGCGCTCACGGCGCCTCCTCGGGGAGAGGATACACTTCTGCGTGCGCTGTGACTTCCCTATCGCTATTTATGGACGCTTGGTACACTCCCTCTTTAGCTCTCTCTTCTTTCTTGATCGATATTTTTCTCCATGCTGCTATTTGGACTCTCACTATGTCTCTAATTTGTTTCCATGTTTTCTCTCTGTTAAATACTACTATGGTCTTTTCAAGTTGTTATTAGGGTTCTTTCTGCATCTTTATAGGAATTTTCCCCCTGTTTTCTCTTTAGAACCGTGAATCAAGACTGCATGCCTTCCCTTTTTTCAACTTTTATCTCTGTGTTGCTTTCATTTTTCGACCTCTCTTCTCTTTCACTCAATTTAGGGTTGCGTGGTAAATCCATTTTCATATAAAAGACAATCTTTGAATCTTGAATATTACAGTGAATACCTGCGAGCAAGGCATGTTTTTCTTTATTTCTGTCTGACATGTGCGTGCATTTTTCTTTCTTTTCACTGTGATCAACACTTTCCAATATCATAGGAGGAGAAATTATGTTCACTTCTGTTTCTTGTAGATTTATATTAATGATAGTTAGGGTTTTGATGTATTCTAAGGCAAGAGGTTAAGAAATAGGGCACAATAAAATAGAATTTCACTATTAGGGCACCTTCAAGAATCTTTCTTCTAGATTTACGGATGCATCAGGTTTATTATAATTTAGCTCAGTCTCAGTGTAATTAGAGTAGAAGAATTGATAATGGTTTACCAGTGTTTTTGTGATAGGTGGTGGTGAGGTGCCCTTTCCTCTTCTGTTCTCTGATTCTTGGTAATAGCTAGTATTCTATGCGTCTGTGTAGATGTCTATTTAACAATCAGTTCTCATAGAAACTGTGGATGTATTTTTGCTACTAATCTGGAAATCATATTAACATAGTGCTTCAAGTTTACGGGTAAGGTATGGAGCCTGTATGTTGTCATAAAGTAGGATATGGTGAAAGTTTGAGTATATTTTGGTTCCAAGGTTGGTTGTCTAGAAGAGATTATAGTATTATGCGGGAGTTTGGGGGAAGTTAAGTTATCCATCATCCATGGTACTTCAGGCCTCAGGCAACTTAGAAGTGATGGAGGCCCAATCCAATATCCTTCATATTAACCAACTTGTCCAACCAAACCCCCCCCCCAAAAAAATTACCTAAAACCATTCAACCTCCCAGTATCATATGTTTGGAAAGAAATGAGAGGATCTTCGAGAGTCCAGAGTCTGTGAAAGAGAGGATTAAGGCCATGGTAAATATTCAGGCTACGAACCGAAAGGAATTCAGGGCCTTTTCTGGACTTTGCACTAAATTGGAAAGCCATGTCTCGAACCATCCCCATCCCTGATTCCCCTGAATCGCTGGTCTCGGAAGGGAGCACCATCAAACTCAACTTTTATGGGTGTTTCATGGGAAATCCTGGACCAGCTAGAATTGGGGTTTATTCAGAGATATCTCACCCACTTTTCTGCCAATGTTCCTGGGGCCTATAGGAGTCGCCTCATCTACTTCGGCTGATGTTAATGAATTACTACAAAGGCTCAAATTATTCAATAGAAGCTGGGGCTCCTCTCTGATTGTTGAAGGCAGTTTGATGGATGTAATTCACTGGGCTAGAGGACTATCCGAGTGTCCTTGGAAGCCAGATCAAGTATTTGATACTGTCATCAAATTGTGGAGCTATGCAGTCCCCTATAAATAACTTTTAAACACATCTGGCAGGAATCCAATGAGATAGCAGACTCACTAGCCATTGCGGGGGCCTCTGGTGCAACTCTTGTAAGTAACCACCACCATTCGTGAATTGGAGACTGCACGGTTTTAATTTCTTTTGGTATTCAAAGCAGTATTCATGCTCTGCCCAACAATTTTGAACTGACTGTGTATTGAGATATTTACACCTTATAATTAGTTCTAGAAAGTCAACTTTTTCAGAGAGGAATTTAATGGGATTTCTTGGGTTATATGTCGATCAGATTAGCTTCATGGGATGATTGAGTCAGTTGATTAGAAAATTTTGGGACCTGATGACTGCAAAAATTTAAGATGCATATTAGTCACATGGAAAAGACCATTGCTATCTCTGGAATAGTAGTTGTTCTCATCAAGGCCACTATTTGACTATATCCCTATCTGGGAAATGGTATTGGGGTTCAATGATTAGGTTGAGAGTATTGGAAGGCAAACATGGACTGGATGGAGATGAGTGGAGACTAAGAGCCCTGAGATTTCAACTTTTTAGGGAGCTATTCGCTAGTCAATGAGGTTTCGTTGAGCATTGGGGACGTATTTCAACTTCTTAGGGAGCTATTTGCTATTCAATGAGGTTTAGTTGAGCATTGGGGATGTTAGTATAGTTACTTGTGTGTGGTGTGGTACCATAGCGTTTCCTTCAAGATTTAGTCAATTGGTTACCCTGGCCATGAGCATTTGAGATGTTGATTGGGGGATATCTGTGGAGGAAAAGAGAGAGGATGGGCTTTTCAAAAATCTTAGGAGAATTTGAGGGATGTGGAATAGAAGAGAGCTAAAGGGTCTGATGAGTTTTTATGAAGAGTTCATCCTGATGAGTCATGATTGTTGAAGTGGCGCATAAGCGATTGTTCTGGGTCAAAATTCTAAGTTCACACAACATGCCTTTGTAGCCCCAGGAATTTGACTCCTAAGAGATGGCATGCTAAATGTGTAGAGATATCTGTAGAGATGGTTGACCATGACTAACATCTTTAATGAACATTAATGCAGTATCCTGACATCTCAATTACCAAGCTCACTTTGATTTGTATGCCTCTGGTCCTGAAATGAGATGGAACTTACCATCTTATGGTCGTCTCTATCACTCCTCCACAAGAAGTCCCTTCAATTCAAGCTTTATTGCTTACCCTGCTAGCAAATGGACGGTGCCATTATGTACATAGGTAGATTACTTATTGTAGCCTTAGTGAGTTAATGCCAACTCTTTGAGAGTAACGAGTTTGTTTATATCCTCTCTTCGACTGGGTTTCCTGGCTCTTACAAGGCCGTCTTACCAAATTGCGAGGGGTGGACCCAATCTCATGCCGTAAACTCTTTGCAAAAGTCTTTAAATGCTGTGTCTCCTGGCAAACAGCTCATTTGGTGTTTTCTTGTTGTTTAGATGCATACAATATTCATCGGGTTGATGGATCTTGGCCTCTATTTCCTATTGCCCAAGGTTTTATTGATTTTGTTCGACATCAGTTTCTTCTCGATGAGTTGCGATCAGTTTTTTTCCTTTCTCGAGACTGGATTATGGCCTAGATAATAAGTCTTTCCATGCAAAGAAGGAATTTCTAATTGGCACAAAACATTGATTACTTGCCCCATTCAGTGTTCAGTGACATGATTTATACCCGTTTGCATTGGAGTTGTTCCTTGCTTAGCAATGTCTGGAAAAAAAGTTCAGTGGTTTCATACGAAAGCTACTGTCATAAATGTATTTTTATGTGATAATGTTTTACCTTTTCAGAAACACCTCACTTTATCGTCAGACTGTGTAGATTCTATACAGTTTCGACATTTTATGCGTGTGTATATCATCTCTACATATGCAAATACATACCTACATGCATGCATGCATTTACACATAAGAGCACATATGCTAAATGCATCGTGTAGGGTAATTTACTATTGACCATGGGTCAACACTCGAAATTGCACACCACCAAACACCATGTTTGGGGTATTATTGGGACTGAAAATTTTCAATTATTTTTTGCTTCAGCTGATCATTGATTTATACTAGTGGTGATGGTAGTAGTAGTATCAATAATGATAATGATGTTGATGATGATGATGATGAGGATGATTATAATAATTGTGATGATGATGATGATGATTTCGAGCTCCTAAATTCTACATCTTGCCATCCAAAAAATGGACGGACCAGGCTCATTGTTAGAGCGGGAATTGATTTGGAGCATTCAATGTCATCTTAGATTGATATTAGGAATGAATATATTTATTTTGTACAGTATTAAAATCAGACAATGAAAAGTAGTGTGAACATGCTTGCATATGTGCATCAATGCGTGCATATATTGTTAGACTTTTATCTTTGGAAGGTCCATAATCATATTTAGGGAAATTTATCAAATTATCTACAAGACATGAGCAATTTAGCACTTCACCCATATGTTTTGATTTAGTTTCTAAGTAGACATAAAAGAAGACATGGTCTTAAGTTGGAATAGTTTCAATTGGGTCAAATGTTAAATAGTTCATCTGTTATGAGTATCTTGATAAATTTTCCTCATAATTATAAGAAATACAAGAGCTGGAAAGAGGCAAATCGAGTTGTGATAGGAACATAAAGATCCCACAGAGCCATAATTTGGACTTGAAGTCTTGAACCCAATAACCGTTTGAAAATAGTTTTCTGCTTCATTTTCCTCTTCTTATATCCAATGTTAGTGCATGGAAGTTGATCGTAGTCGTGCAAGACCATGATACACGGCTCATACCTCAGATATTTTTTGTTAGAATAGATTATCTTTGTTATAAATATTAATGTTATTCATGAATCTGGCCTTTGTTATTTATTTATAATATAGGTTTTTCGTAAAACATGTTCGATGGATTTGCACCATTTCATTCCCTGCCTGCCCATGTTCAACCTCTCTGAAGCTTCAACGGCCTGTGCAATTAATAGTGTAACTTATCAAGTTGTAAATATATTTAAAATTTCATTAAAATATTTTAAATTAACGAAAATCATAATTCAGATATGAAGAATAATATAGTACAAATATTCTTCAATTTCAATGGAAAACAAAAACTTAAGGGATTGGAGATATTGTTGAGAATTTATTAAACCTTCTTTATTATACTTCAACTGTTAAGGATGAACTATTGGAAAATTATCACATATTTCCCTCTTAAAATTCTCTGTGGTAGCAAAAATTGCCCATTTTGCTTCATTGCATGCCACCAACACGCAAGCCATCCCCCATCCCCCACCCCGCACACCCCCCCCCCCGCCCCCCTCTTATCCAGGGTGGTCTTTTTTTCTGAATTTGTATGGAAACCTAATTTATTACAACTCTGTAAAGAAAGATTCCTAGCCCAAACTTGAGCCCTCTTTCCTAGGGTTCTCAAGTAACTCTAACTCTATTTGTATTTGCTTGAAAAAAACTTAGATGTTTGTTCCATGTTTCTAGGAATGGACATGGTGTTTTCTTGTTTTATATCTTTTATGCTTTCTTCAGCACGCAAACAGTTATTTTATATCTTAATGACAGGTCCTTTTTGCAGTTTGCCTCCATTGTTATTTAAGGGAAAGTTCACTGACTAATGAAATGGATGATGATGGAGAGAGAGAGAGTGAGACCCACCAGAACATGACATGATCCCTATGGTGGGTCCCGTGTCCCACTTTCCCTCTATCCTTGTTCACCATTTCATTGGACTGTGATGACGTTTGGTTCTCCTTAGTCTATTAGATCGCGGTATGCTTATTTAATCTCTTACCTGTTGGCGGCTTTATTGACATGTTGGAAAAAGATACCTCTACTAGAGAAGCATGAATGATATCCGTTGAATAGAAAATTTGAAATATATTGATGCATCATTTTTCTTGGATTTGTGATGAATGTAATTTGAGTTGACAATCTTAAGTCATTTTGCAGAGCCCATGCGAGCATGCTTTCTGTTTGGCCTGTGCAAGAAGTGATTCTAGCTGCTACCTGTAAGCCTTTCCTTTTAACATAATTCCCCAGATTTAAACATGCTGGGTTTCTCTCTATATGAAATGCTATGTCATTTTGACTGCATTCACTATTACTTTTTTTACATAGTTATTATAGAGCCTGAGTTGGGAAAGGATGTTATGTTTACGGTCCATGCAGTTTAATATATATTATCTTGATATTTTGGAAAGGGTAGTTGTTGGTTGGAGCCTTTCCCTCTTTATATTTTGGATGTCATATATATATATATATATATATATATATATATATATATATATATATATATACTAGTAGTAGTAAGATAATAAGTACTATTACTACCTTACTACTTACTACT